ACGAAAACAACCAAAAACGTATCCTTATACCGAGGGTACCATTTCTTTTCATTCAAAGTGAGTTGCATAAATTCAATGCGAAATTTTGTTAGCAGATCTACAGTGCAACAAAGTCAACGTATTGGGGCTTAGTGACAGCTCGGACATAGCGAACACCGGCTAGACGCCAGGCGGCCGGGCACCAAATGGCTCAAATTTTAATGAATCAAGAATACTTCAGGATCATCAAACAACATCTTGTCATTAATTACAATACGAAACGCCGATGAGCTGTTAGCTTGGAGAAGGCAATTTTCGAAGTCGATTCAATTTTCACTATATTAAAATTATATTTGGCTGTTTTGGCTTTCAATCAACTGCACACAACACCTCCAATCAACGATACACAACGCAATTACAAACAACTGTCAGACGGGGCGGGTTTGCTCGCTCTGTATACAAAATGTTTGTCTATACTCTGACCTAGATGAACTGGTCGAAACATTAATCCAAAAAGTGCCATTGGAGAGCTTCAACAATAATTCACTTTTTTCCACTTGTTTCAGTTGTCACTTTCTAGGAGCTACACAACTGCATATATCTCTAACCCTTTCGTGCTCTACTGGAAATATCGTAGACTAACAATACACGCACGAGATCACTAAATTTATTCCACCACAATAAAGTGCTCCCATAAGTGGTTACACACATTAAGTTATTAAACAGCTTTATCCGGTTGGATCGATTAATAGTCCGTTTTAGCCAGAAACGGGCTCTCATTCGAAGGCCCAGCCGGAAGAAAAGGACAATAAGCAAACGAACACTGAAGAGAAGCCTTCTAAAACGGAACATGGGGGACCACTGACTCTAAAAAAGAACTTCGAGGATATTCATTTGTTCGCGAGAGACAGAGCTCCTGCTATAGCGAGCTATGCGCCTCGATCAACGGAAACGAGCTGGGTCGAGCAGTACAAGATGAGTGTCAATAAAAGGAAGCAGGAGTTATGTTCTGGGTCAGTTTAGTTTTAAGTATTCCCCGTAAAACACAAATTCTAATTAGAATTATTGGACATTATGTAATTGAAAGTCCCTAAATATGATCAGCTTGTCTTTAAATCAATCCAAGTTTGAATTTATTGAATTAGTTGATCAAAACTTCTTCACCTGTTCTTGTAGTTGTTTTACGGGCAACCATTTTGGTACGCTACGTGTTCTTCGTTGGCATGAAGATACTAACCAACCAGCAGACAAGTGGAATCTTCTTCTAGGCTTGTTTTGTATAACGCACGGTCTTTATACTCGGGCGATCGCGTGTGTACTAGAGTGTAGTGCCCTTTTGACCATCTGAAAACTGTCTCGTTAAAGAGCAACGCTGTTTCTCTTTATAAATAAGTAGGTGGTGATGGGGTAGTATTGCTACTGCTAATCCATGCCTGGCTCGGAAAATTCGAATCCGTCCCAGGCAAGCTCCTCTCTTCTGAGTATTAAAACCAGATTCAGCTGACCGGGTAAGAACACTGAAATGCGCAAGAGCGGACAACCAAAACCACACGTGTGTGTGAGGCATCTCAAAAATATTGGTAACTCAGTGCGAACTGATTGTTCATTCCTTTCTGGAAGACAATACGTCAACGAGTCCGCCTAGAGGAGCTCACACAGAAAATTGACAGCAAGAAATGGTTCTTTCGAGAGCGGGTTCAAGTGTACAATATGGGAGCGGCTGTAGGATTTGCTCTGTCAACGTCGCTGTCGAAGACATCTTTCATGTGAGCATTCAAAAGTATTGGTCGGAAGCTTTTCTACTGATTTGTTCGGCGAAGGGAACTTCCCTTGAAGTGAGAGTCACATTCATTCATTTCAAGGATTGTTTTTAGGAACAATCCCATCCGAGAGTGAGATGGGGTCGCAAGCGCAGTTTATGTTGGGTCCACAAATGGAAAGCGTGCGTCGAGGACGTGAGAACTTGTCTTCATGGTGGTGAGCGCTCTTGGGGTTCGCTGGGTAACGCTTCATGCCGACGACGAAGTTTACACTTCCACTCATCCGCTTGCTCTTTTGTCTCGCCTGGTTTTCTTCCCTCAGCACAGTGTTCTGTACTCTCTCAAGGAGAGAATTCCTTCATAGTCAGCGTTACCGGCGATTTCTGTGCTGTTTTCCTTCACTAGAGTCAGTCTCGCAGGTCTACTTCGATCTTCGTGGGCAGTAATTCACCGTGATGGCGCAGTGTGCGTTCAGCTGTTCTTCTCATTAACGTTTGCTTCGCTGGTTCTTGCCACCCCACTTTGCACTCATAAGGGCAACCATGTTTATTAAAGCAAGTCAAATATGGCAAAGGAAATGATATTTGGAAGCAACTTTTATGTTCCCGCTTCACGTAGAAGTAGGAAAACAGTCCGAAACCGCAATCATGCTCTGCCAATGTGAAGGCACCAATAGCAATGCCTGTCCCAGCTGTAACTATAAGAGCGCGGCACTACACGTATAGGAGATTTGGAGCTGGTGCCTTACTCCCATACGCCGATGCTCTACTCCTGCACCTATGACTTTCCCATCTTCTATGGGTTTTTTCAGTCATAATGTTATGCGGACCGGGAAGCGCTGCGGCCGGGTTTTTGTAGCCGTTGACCTGAATAAGAAAGATTTCACTGTCATCTTCGTGAAGGATGTGAACGGTTCAACGTTACTGTTTCACGCTTCACTGATAGACGTTTCAGAATTGAGGGTTTGAATCGGATGAGTTATTCATCAAGGCCTCTGCATATGTTGGCCGCACAGAAAGGATGAAATCTTGAACGAAAAAGAATCGACAATAAGTTGACGGGAGGAACTGTAACGTAACGTTCTAAATTATAAATTCAAATATTTAGCAGTGCTCACACATGCATTTTATTTTACAATCAAATAATAATAATGCATTGAAACAGAAGATACAAACCGCTTGTACAAGAAAGTCAACAAGAATTTAGTAATCCTGTGCCTGTGCCAGTTGCTCGTTCAACTTCACCAGGACGTTATGATGTCCACCGAGGAATTGTTCCTCGTGTTCCTCCTCGTCTGCCGGATTATCGACCAGAAGCGTCTGCTACCTTAGGTTGGTTGTTCTTCAATAAATTACCTATGATACGAATGCAGCCGTGTTGGTCATGTCGGAAGTGGTCACGATTGTTGGGATATTTCTGGCCAAATAATTGTATCCAAGGGATAGCTATTATAACGGTATTTGACGAAGATCTGAGCGTGAATTCAGTACAAGTGGAATACATACACGGTGTTTTCCAAAGTTTAAATCCAAATTGATATTTTGTTTACTGATGAACAAAACTGTAAACTAACTTATGTGCGTAGAACTTAAGAACAGCAGAATAAGCTGGCTTGAAGAAATACTGAATTTCTAACTCCATCTTGTTTCTTTGCACTTCTCGCGAGGTTTTGAAATAAAAAGAATTTGATGACGCTAATCTGACCATAGTTTCAAAACGGAGATTTGCAAGCGAAGGAACCTTAACACATGAATGCACCACAGGAAAAGGTGAAAACTGAACGAATAAATCTGAAAACACTTGAATAGTGTGGTCGACTTGATCCG